CTAATTCTTTCGCTGATTATTTCATTGACAAGATTGATCGTATCCATGCCACACTAATAGAGAAGAATTCTGCGCAAGGTAATGATGCTGATGAAGTGACTCTTGGTAACTACGTGGAATGTAACTCTGTGTTTTCAGACTTTATTAATGTCAGTTACGAAGACATCAAGGGACTTGCATTGAGATCTATTAATAAATCCTGTGTACTTGATCCTCTGCCTGCAATGGTAATGAAGGAATGTTTCAATTTACTAACTCCTGTGTTGACTAACATAGTGAATACATCTTTATCTACAGGAGTTATGCCTGATGTCTTGAAGATTGCAGCTATGACACCGACTTTAAAGAAACATAATGCTGATTTCACTAAATATGAAAGTTTTCGACCTATTTCTAATTTGAAGTTTGTGTCCAAGCTTGTGGAAAAAGCGGTATGTGTCCAGCTTACAGACTATATTACATCTCGTGGTCTTTCGGAAACGTTTCAATCCGCATACAAGTCATTTCACTCCACTGAAACGGCTCTACTGAGGGTTCAAAATGACATTCTTTGTGCTTTAGATCGTAATGAGTCGGTCATACTGGTACTTTTGGATCTGTCGGCGGCGTTTGATACGGTGGACCATACTCTTCTAGTGACAAGGCTGTCTACTTGTTTTGGTTTTCAAGGAACTGTGCTTAAGTGGCTGAAATCATACCTGTCTTCACGTAAGCTGTTTGTTAAAGTTGGGAATAGTCATTCTTCACAACGTGCATTGAAGTGTGGTGTCCCTCAGGGATCAGTTCTGGGCCCTTTGTTGTATTTGTTATACACATCACCTATTGCGGACATAATAAATGATCATGGACTATCATACCATCTATATGCTGACGACACCCAATTATATATTACCTTTAAATCTACCAGCTTGAATGACATCCAACATGTGAAGTTGAGAGTGGAATGCTGTGTGAGGGACATTGATGAATGGATGATAAGAAACTATCTTAAACTAAACCAGGACAAAACGGACCTTGTAGTCATCAGTTCCAGATTCCATGCCATGCCTGACATCGGTCACATTACTGTTGATTCTGAGTGCATTGCACCTCGTGACTCTGTTCGTAATTTAGGGGTTCAGTTTGATAGCATATTTAGTTTTGAGGAGCACATCAAGAACATTTGTAAATCATCATTCTTTCATTTGAGAAATATTGCTAAAATCCGCAAGTACTTAAGCCAAGATACATGTAAAATCTTAGTCCATGCATTTATTAGTTCGAAACTCGATCACTGTAATTCCTTATTACATGGCCTTCCTAAGTATCTGTTAGCTAGACTACAGGCAGTTCAGAATGCTGCAGCTCGTGTTGTCACATTGACACCGAGGCATGTTCATAGAACTCCTATTTTAATTAATCTTCATTGGTTACCAGTTGAGTTTAGAATAACTTTTAAAGTCCTTTTATTGGTATACAAGGCCCTTCATGGCCTTGCACCTTCTTATATTTCTGACCTTTTGAATTTTAAAACATACTCTAGGTCATTGCGTTCTTCATGGAAAGAATATTTAGTGGTTCCAAGAAGCAGATTGAAAACATATGGAGACAGAGCTTTCTCTATTGCAGGACCTAAATTGTGGAACGATTTACCTCTAGAGATTAGGAAATGTGCTTCAGTGGCAACTTTTAAGCAATCCCTTAAAACTTTTTTATTTAAGTTAGCATATAGGTTATGAGATTCCTTTTGTTTTGAGATGTTTTTGATTTATATAGTAGATAACTTAGGCTATATTTGAATTATATTGTATATTGTAGATATTTTATATTTTATATTTTTTATATTTTATTTCGTAATTAGGTAGCGCTTTGGACAATTATTGGATTTTAGCGCTATATAAATAAAATTATTATTATTATTATTATTATTATTATTATTAAGACAAAACTTGTGACAATCTCAATGTATTGATCAAAATGTTACTCTTAATGAAGCGTGAACATTGAAAACACTCTTAAAGAAAATACCTTGTGGGGTTTACTCCCGCCAGAGTTGGAATATTCTTTGCCAGTAGATTTGCAATTTGACCAGAGGCGTGTCTGGTAGAGAATTGAATGTTCCTTACTCCCCTTTCCTGTATCAGAGTTTTCATAAGGGATCTTCGAGGAATTGCTTTCATTGAGGCATCTTCTTGCTGCAAGTGAACAAATGTTCTTGTGACAGATGTTTCTGTCTACATTATCTTGCCACCTTTGTAGCATGGCTGAGGCCTGTGTCTACTTCAGATTGATCTAGTGGAGCAGAAAGGTGGTCTTCAGATATGTTCGATTTCCTTTTGAGCAAATCTCGGCTGTTCTGACTTTTTGCACTGATTAGTTGAGGAGACAGGGGACGTTTGATGTAATGTCAACTGGCTCCTCAATTTGGGCGTGTACTTTGATTACCTTGACAGCATTTTTGGTAAGTGTGGCCGGGGAATAGAGTTAATTGGAAGAGAAAGCAAGCTTTTTTTTATAGATCAAAGGTGACACTTGAATGAGGGAGTATGCTGAAATGAGAGCCTGCAGAGCAAGGGTTTTTTGGTGCTAGAACGTTCATCTATCCGAAAAGAATGCCACCATTTTAGATGTTGAAAGTAGTTCGATTCGTTTTATTTTAATTAGCGTTGTTCCATTTTGTTTTTCATTTTTAATGCGATGTTTCAACTCCTCCTGTTGCGCGAAAGAAGTGTTGCTTGCTACTATCAAGGACTCAGTGGAAACTTTGAGTGAATTTCCTGCCATGAATACAAGAAACCACATTTTTTTGTCCTCAAAACAGTTGGCATTTTGACTAGCTAACCACAGAACTAGCTGTCATACTTCCGGCGTTACCCAACCGAAATCAGAGAAATTGCGCTATCGTACAGACAATTATTATTGAGTTGACCGAAAGCAAACGGTGAAAGATCGATTGTTACAATGGGGTACAGCTATTATACTATGCAACATTTCATCTCACTTTGAAGTGTGATCTGGTCGGTTCTTGTGATCTTAATTAAAACAATGCGCAAAGTTCACTTGTCAAATACTGTCAAATTGAATGTGCGGTGCTTTTTCACGGAAACCATGAACACGCATCAGCTGTTCTACAAAAAAAAAATTACGCTACTTGGGCTTCCAGACTGCCTGCAGAAAATTTTTGATGGGGAACATTGTCCATTTCAATAACCCAATTCCTGATCAGTTGCAATGTCCAGTTTGGTAAGGTTTGCTATCTTAATACTAGAAAATGTTCAGGCAGAGATGAAACGAGTTATTCCACCTCACGATTGAAATTTAAATTACGTGGAGCACCAAATGTGTATTGATTACTTGGATAAATAACGTTTCATGGTTTTTTTTTTAACGTCGTGTTCAATTTTATTGTTCTAATTTGAAATTTTACAGTGGTTAATATGACCTAATGTATTGCTTGTGGTCAGAAATGTCTATAAAATTCGTACTAAATGCTTAGTTCCAATCGCTTGCAGGTATTGTGTCTTTGTTTAGAATTGTCAGGTGATTTACTTTGTGGCTGACCATATTCGCGAGTCCAGTTAGTATAGAATGAAATCGCCATCATTCTCAACACTTAAGTGAAATCTTGCGGTGTCAATTCACGTGTTCGGTTTTAAGAAACATAAGTGCCCTGCAGTCTCAAATTTTTATCCAAGTTGAACGGGAAGTATCGTGTTGACCTCTGTACATATTATGTTCTTTTAGAATTTTTGAGCGATTTCAAAAAGTTTAATGGAATTGTTGAGCTCCAACAAGCGATTATTTCACTCACAAGGACATTCTCAGCAGTGACACTGTTTTAGTCTTGTTAAAACTGTGTCTGTGAGCAGAGCCATAACATTTTTGTAAGTGATGAGCATATGGTGATTTCATGTTATGTACAAGCTCACAAAATAGTCAGCTGCGAAGTTCTCTTCCTTTTATGAATCCCTTGAAAATTCTAAACCAAGTTACAATGCTTTCGACCAATTAGACTTGAGCATTTCGTAGATATTTTAGAGACATTTCTGACCGCTGGGCAATTAGCCTTCCCAGCTTCCGGGCATTTCTCCACTACGTTCAAAATATTTGTTGTGAATTGTGTTTATTAAGGGCAATATGCCATACACACTTTGTAAATGACCTATTGAAAACTGTTCTGTTTGAGTTAAGGTTATTCACCTCTGCAACACAATGAAGTTTGGATATAGTTGAGTGTACATGTCCACTATCCATCAGCCTAATGCACTGATGTTTTAAAAACTGTTTTAGCTACGAGCTGATGATAACTTGCTACTTGGTGTCAAAGTGTGGCCATTCATTTTGCCGTTCTTGCCATAGCAGATAAGAGGAACAAGTTGCGATGAGATGTCCAGTGTGCAATAATACTCTGTTATGTCACATTCTGAACATCGCTCTCAGAAATGCAGCAAGAGCTTTAAATTGCACTTATAAATATTGCAAAAGTTCGCTGATAGCAGAGGATATCTAACCCACCAGAAGGGGTGTGGCGAAAATTAAAATATTTCGTATGTCATCTTATCATAGTTTTAAAAAGACGTTGGCGAGTGTCACATGACAGTGAGATAGTATACTACGCATTTCAAAATTGTAAAATATTCATTTCTTGTCTATTGTAAGCCCTGTTAACATTTCAAACCCAAAAAAGTCAATTTTTAAAATTTGATCTGAGAAACGCACACCACAGTTTCACTTCTTGGAAAGCTACTGAGACACCTTTCAAACATTTGAATTATTAATGCGTATTTCATGCCAGGATTCACAAAAACGCAGTGAAATAGGCGGAGCATTATGCAGTTTTACAACAATGCTATGTGTAATTACTTTCAATATATGATCTAACCAAAGCATGACAAACTGAAGAAATAATTGTCCCATTGTCTTTCGACAGAAGAGGTATTCCATTTCATATGGTTACTTGTCCAAAGCGTATTGTCCAGTGTGGTGTTCCTGGTTGCCTGGATGTGATCTGACAATCGGAAATGGTGGTACATAACAGAGACAATGCAAGAAAACACTTGGACTTATATGCCATTGACGAGCAGACAAAGGCATGGTCTCTAAAGGAAGTAAGAATATTGCTTCTAACGATAGTAAACCAATTTACATATCATACAGCGTATAGGACGGATTCATTGCTACGAACATTCTAGAACGGAAATAATTTTTTTTGCATGGTTACTTTTCCAAAGCTTAACAATTTTGTGGAGTCAAAAATAGAAATAAAATCTTCTATTGTCGTTGGCTTAACACCATATGGTTAACAAATTTGCTAGGAAAAACCTCGATGTTCAGTGTAAGCTACGAATATTCTTTGGTAGCTAATTGGCGCACTTTAAAACAGTGAAATATATCTCTTTGCCAGCTCCCCAAATAGTGTTGAGATGCACGCAAATCTCCAAGCAATTGCAATACTATTGCTTGGTTTTAAATTTTAAGAATTTATTTCTTTGGCTATATAGCGTATCGACTCGACTCTCTCTATTCATTTTTTTTATAGGCCACAGTCTACATGGAAATAAAGAGTGAAAGTGCCATCGTTCTGACTTGGTTGATGCCGAATGATTGGAAATGGCCCATCGCTTCTCCTCTGATGCAGGCATTTGATTGGAAATGGAGACTTTGACAAGAGGAAAGCTTTGGCTCCAATATTACAGAGGGGTCAAAATTATACAAATTGCTTTCACGTGAGTATAGGTCAAGGCCATTCAATAACATCCGATTCCTCTCTGGTTTCTATAAACCTTAGTTTCATTTGCAAGTTAAATATTTGAATCACTCACATCAGCCTAAACTTATCTTTTATCTCTTCAAGGTTTTTCATTGAAAAGAAAGGCGATGATGCTAAGAAAGTTATCATCAGTCGGGGACACATAAAGTTGAAGGAATGAAGAGGCCATGGCTTTATATTACCCTAAGAAATTGTGGAGGGAACAGAATATAAACTGATTTTGTATCTCGCAGTTATATTTCCTGCTGTGTTCAGCTTTGCCTGCTTAATATAAGATCTGTTAAGAATAAAGCGATGATAGTGAAAGACTATGTTGTGGACAATGATATTGATATTATGGCTTTGGCAGAAACATGGCTGCGACCTGGAAATACAAATGATGATGAAGTGGGAACTTTATGTCCTACCGGCTAATGTTCCTACATGTTCCAAGATCTCATTCCAGGGGAGGAGGAGTTGGTGTGTTATTTAAAGACAATCTCAATATCAACTCCTCAATGTGTCACACCTTTCAGTCATTTGAATTCATGGATGTCCGTCTCAGAAGCCTTCAGTGTATTAGGATCCTGGTTATTTATCGTCCACCTGACAACAACTCCTGTTTGCTTTTCTTTGAAGAGGTCTCTAGATTACTAGAGCAAATTGCTGCTGAGCCTTCAGGATGTTTATTGATAATGGGTGACTTCAATTTCCACATGGATGATCCTGACAATGCTAATGCCAAGTGGTTTGCAGACCTTCTTGAGTCATATGATCTGGAACAACATGTCAATTGTGGAACTCATACCAGTGGCCATACCCTTGATTTAGTCATTACAAGATCAGATGACTCACTTATTAAGGATACCGAAGTTAAGGATCCTGTTATTTCGGATCATCTTGTAATTCATTGTGTGTTATCTCTTCAGAAACCTCAATTTAGAAAAAAATTGATAAACGTCCGGAAATTACACTCCTTAAACATGGCCTCCTTTTGTAAGGACATTATGGATTCTCCTTTGTTACAAGATCAAGCTACTGACTTAGATATGATGGTAGATCAGTATGATAGGGTTCTGCAACAGTTATTGGACCAACATGCTCCAAAAAAGAAACGTCTGGTAACTGTAAGGCCATCTGCACTGTGGTATACATCAGATGTCGTTGCTGAGAAAAGGAAAAGGAGAAGACTGGATCACAATCCAATCCACACCACAAACCACAATCCAATCCGATACTCAATCGTTGTCAGCCTCCTTGGACCAGTCAATTAAACAAAGCCTAGGTTATACCTGACAAAGAGGGCAAAGCTACTGTATGCTGACTGGTCGATAAAGAGCGGGGTCTTTTTTTCTTAATGCTGCATCTGAAGAGGTCAAAATTACTCGCTCCCGATTGGATGATTGCTAAAACACCCGCTACTGATTGACTGAATGTACTACTTTGACATTCAGTTAGTTTCTTAACTTTAAGCAAATCAACTTCATCTTTTCGAGGTTTCTCGAAATTCACGTTGCATTCACTAAAAAAAAGGAATAAAGATTGAGTCAGATTCAAGTCAGCAAGAAGGCTCGTTCGCAAACAACAGGAAGTGTCAAACTTATCAATGTGATGAAATTATTGAATATGGCACAAGCTGCAAACCTAATTCTCCTGTCTAACGACGTTTCACTAAATCCTGGACCAACACAGCCCTCGCCATCCTTGATGAAAGGTCTTCGCTTATTTCATCTCAACATTTGCAACCTACGCAATAAAATGGACGAACTCAGACTTTTCTGCGATGAGCACAAACCGCACATCGTGACAATAAACGAGACTTGGCTTGATGACTCGTTCACCGACGCGGAAATAACTCTTCCTGGCTACAATGTTATGCGAAAAGACAGAGACGAAAATGGTGGTGGCGTTGCGGTATACATAGCAGAGCAACTAAATTACAGTCAGCTTGACGAAAGTGAAATCCAAACACAGAACGACAACTTTGAATCAATTTGGTTTGAAGTATGCCAGCCAAAATCGAAGAAGATTTTATGCGGAGCAATCTACAAAACACCAGATGCTGACCCAGCGGCTTTTACTAGCCGGGTCGAAGAAATTCTAAACAACGTTCTGACAAATGATGGTGAAATTGTTCTTATTGGAGACTTCAACCTGAATTATTTGAACCCGACTTCTGCGACAAAGCATTTTCAGCAAACAACAAAATCTTTTCATCTGAAACAAACAATCACCGAGCCCACTCGAATCACTGAGGAGACTAGAACTTTAATTGACCTATTTCTAACATCAAGACCAGAACTGTACACCTGCGGTGTTATTCCAATCGGCTTCTCTGATCACTGTGCTATTTTCGGAGTCAGAAAACTCCACAACATCAAGCGCCCTCCGCCTAAAATTATTCAGAGCAGAAATTATAAAAATTATGATCCTGCATTCTTTAGCGACGATTTGAATAAGATCCCATGGGATATTCTCGAAATGGAATCAACGTCAAATGAAGCTTGGATTGTTTTCAAAGATCTTTTTTTGACAGTTGCTGACAAACATGCGCCTGTTGCCACGCGAAGAGTTCACGGGTTTTCAGTTCCATGGCTAACATCAAGTATAAAAGAATTAATGACAGAAAGGGATTACCATCATAAAAAAACGATCAAAACAAATCAAGAACTGCACTGGAGCAAATACAAGCGCTTACGAAACACCGTTAGCAAGAAAATGAAGAACGCAAAATCGGATTATTATTCTTCTCGCTTAACAGAAACCCAAGACCCAAAAACAATGTGGGAAATCCTGAAAGAAATCATGCCAAATAAGAAAAATACCGGTGTGCCAAAAACCGGCAGTTTGTCTGCATTAAAGTTCAATCACTTCTTCACTTCCATCGCCGAAAAACTGTGTGAACGATTTCAACTAAGCACTTACATAAAGCCACTAACACCAAGAGTAAATAACAAATTTTCTATGGAAGAAGTGAACGAAATGTTTGTCTGTAATGAACTGAAGAGACTTAAATCAAAGAAAGCCACTGGTCTAGATGGAATGTCGGCAAGACTTTTAAAGGATGCAGCTTCTGTGATAGCCAAACCCATTACTTATATTATTAATCTGACTATTTCAACTGGCGAAATTCCACCTGAACTTAAAGAAGCGAAAGTTACGCCTATATTCAAGAACGGTAAAAGAACCGAAGAAAGTAACTATAGGCCTATATCCGTGTTGCCCCTAGTCTCCAAGGTTATGGAGCGTGCAATCCAAGTACAGCTTGTGAAATTTCTTGAAGCAAACGAAGTTCTGTCAGCGTACCAATCTGGATTCCGAAAAGGACATTCTACCGAAACTGCTGTGACTTATCTCACTGATCAGATCTTGGAACACATGGATAATCAACAAATGACTGGCTCCGTCTTCATTGACTTAAAGAAGGCTTTCGACCTAGTTGACCATAACTGTTTGTTACAGAAGTTAGAGCACTATGGTGTCAGAGGGAAAAGTCTCACATGGTTCCAGAACTACCTAGGATCTCGTACACAACGAGTACGATTTGGACAGGACTTGTCACCAAGCCTCCCCATTGAGTATGGTGTTCCACAGGGATCCCTGCTGGGACCACTACTTTTCGTTATATACATCAATGACCTGCCAAGCTGTCTCAAAAAAACACGCACATCAGTATGTATGCTGATGATACAGTCATCTATTGCTCGGGTGCAAACCCAAAGGAGATAAAGAAGGCCCTTCAAGAAGACCTAGAGCGAGTTGTAACTTGGATGGATATAAATCGTCTGATTCTGAACAAAGAGAAAACAAAGGGAATTCTTTTCGGGACGAGACAAAGGCTGGAAGCCGTCGCAAACTTTTACATCACCATAAGTGGTACCAATGTCGAGATGGTCAGTAAATTCACATACTTGGGCGTTACCCTCGATGAGGAACTGAAATGGAAAGTACACGCTGAAGATGTTCACAAGAAAGTATCCAAGCGACTCGGTCTCCTCAGACGAATACGCTCCACTCTTACTTTACAAGCAGCACAAGCGGTATACAAATGCATTATTGAACCAATTTTTAGTTACGCAGACACAGCCTGGGGTGAACTACCCGAGAGCAGCATCACTAGTCTGCAACGATTACAAAATCGAGCCGCGAAAATCGTCACCTATCAGAAAAGTACAAGGACAGCCCGAAATATTGTAAATTGGCCAGATTTAGAAACACTGCGAAAAATACACAAATGTATTTTAGTATATAAATGTTTACGGAATTTCGTTCCTATATACTTAAAAAACTATTTTAAGGTAAACAATGATGTACACAATTACAACACTAGGCAGAGGAGAAATATTCACCCAAATAAAACAAATCTTGTTCTTGGGGGGCGAACTTTTAAAAATTCAGGGCGTTTAGCTTTTAACTCACTGCCAAGCAGAATCAAAGAGGCAAGTTCTCTAACAATTTTTAAACGCCTTCTTAAAGGACATTTTATCTGATTTTTTTTTTTTTTTTTTTTTTCTCCCCTTTTTTTAAATTTTAGCAAATTTTACCTAACCTTGTAATCTTATTGTAAATGTTTATATGTAATTTTTATTGAACCCAGGGCCCCTAAGGATACCAGCCTTGCAGCTGACTGGGCTACCCTGGTAAAATAAAGTTGTCTTGTCTTGTCTTGTCTTGTCTTGAGAGTTCGACTTGCAATGTGCCCGGCATAGCGGGATTGCTGTGGTTCAAAACATGTCAAAGGCTCTTACTTTAACACAGCATCTTGCAACTCAACAAGAAAGGTTACAGAACAGCAAACAATAAATGGGATAAACTGGTAAGATTTTTTAAATATCAATGATACTAGAAAGCACAAGACACAGAAAAAAAACAAAACAGAAAACGATACAATACACACACGGTTTGCAGTACCGTTA